AAATAGATATGGGGTGCAGTGGGAGCAAAATGATGGACACTGAACCCGGCCGGGAAGTGCCAGAGAAAGATCACTGGAACAGTAGATCCTTGATGTCCTGAAGAGTTAGTGAGATAAACCAGGGAAAGTCAGGAACACAGGGAGGAGGGAATAGAAGTGCTAAGGAGGGAAAGTGCTATAATCAAGTAACCAGAAACACAGAAGAAAACAGGATTAGATGTTCTAGTCTCATTGTTGAAGCATGAACGATTTTTAGTCTTGACATTTTGAACTTGAGGATGTTTTGATTTCATCTTTTAATAGTCAATCAGAGAAAGGAATCACAATGTCCTCAGATTCACAATAGGGAGGTTGAAGTATGGCTGTGGTAGGAGTGGGGTAAGGACCAAGAGAGCAGGAAGGCTCCATCAGGGGTGAGGGTCAGAAGGTGGGGTCCTGACATTGCAGATTTCCACCTCCAGATGACGAAGAATACCAGAGCTTGGACCCTGGTCCCCTTCAGAAAAATCTATACCACAAGCAATAGCTGATAAGATAACTCCTTGCTTTGCTTTGCCCCCCTCCACTATTAAAAATGCACTCAGCCCAAAGTAGCACTACCTCAGTCACACCCACACCTGCAAGGCTTGTGTGCAGAAAGAGAAAGGCTGCCTTCTTTTTCATGTGTTGATCATTTCATTATAATTTCTACTCTGGGGGAGTCCCATTAAGACAGGTGCAAATTTGTGCAAATATGGTGGAATGAAGATAATCAAGAAAGACTTGTTGAATACTTCCTATCAGGCTTTGGAGCCACAGAAAGGAAAGGGGGTGATCCTGGACTCAGGGAACTTATGAGTGAGCCAGGACTTACTCGGATCTGGACTCAAGAGGAGGCAGGGAGAGCAAGTGAAAGAGTTGTCAGGAAGGGAGAATCACACACTTTGGTAAGGGAACTAGGGATTCAATTTCAGTTGCCTGGGCCATCTGACGTAACGGACCGAAAGAAGAGATGAAGAGAGGAAATCTGTTTTGAGTGCACAGCCAGATAGAGGCCAAAGCCTATTCAACTTCCTACAGATTTCAGAAACCAGCTCTGGCCATGGGAGGCTCCCTGTCATGGGCAAATCTTGGCCTTGACCCTCACTACATCAGAACGAGCTACACCTGCAAGGGCAAAGATATTTTCTCCTTAAAGTTCACCTCAGCACGTTCATTACTTGATTTGCTCCAAATTTAATAGTCTAGGGCTCAGGGAACAAACAGCAAGGGTGATGAGTTAGTTTTTCTCCTGCTATTGATATAATAATTGTTACACAAAAATAGTTTGCTCGATCCTAAAATGTGACTCCAAGCAGCACAGATTCCTTTGTCCAGAATGAAATATAACTAAATAAATAGCTTACAATGGCTACGTAGGGGTTGCCACTCTAAATAACATCATTGTGTATCATACATAAGCAATGAGTCAAGATCTTGAAAGCCATAGTAATGTTAATATCCCACAGCCTAAAACATTGAAAGCCAAATAGAAAGAATACAGAAGTTGAGGGTGGGCCCCTAGAAAACGTAGTTTCAGACTGAGAAAAAAATAAATCTCATTATTTATTCTTTCTTTAGGTGCTGCCACCAACCATCAATTATTGCTAATAAGCAAAAACAGTTAAGACTCCCTTCTTCACACCATATACAAAAGTTAACTCTAAACAAAGCACAAACCTAAACACAAGGGCTAAAACTGTAACACTCTTAAAAGACTAGATAAGAGTAAATACTCATAACCTTGGGTTTAGGCAAAGCCTCTTTACATATGACACCAAAAGCACAAATGGTAAAATTAAGAGGAATCGATAAATAGGACTTCCTCAAAATGAAAACTTTTTGTGTGCCAAGAGACACCATCAAGAGAGTGAAAAGACTACCCACGAGATGGGAGAAATACCTGAACGTCACACATTTGATAAGGGATTTGGACTTAGAATAGAATAAGAACTCATGCAACTCAGTAAGAAAAGGACAAATAATCCAATTCAAAAATGGGTGAAGAATCTGAATTTGAATATTTCACCAAAGAAGATAGACAAATGGCCACTAAGCTCATGAAAAAAAAAATGCTCAACTTCATTTCATGAGGGAAGTGCAAATCACTTCCACGCTCAGAGCTACTGTTCACACCCACTAGGATGGCTATCATCATGAAGATAGCAAGTGTTGGCAAGGATGTTGAGAACATGGCAGGTGGGAAAAGTGAAATGGTACAGCTGCTGTGAAAGACAGTCTGGGAGCCCCTTGAAAGGTTAAACGTGGAGTTACCATATGACCCACCAATTCTATGTGTAGGCATTCAAGAGAGTATTCCAGGGCATTAAAATGATTCACGCTACAACACAGATGGTTCTTGAAAACATGCTACGTAAAAGAAGCCAGGCACAAAAGGCCACACAGTGTGATTCCATTGATGTGAAGTGTCCAGAAGAGGTAAATCCACAGAAACAAAAAGAAGGTTACTAGTTCCTCAGGATGTATGAAGGGAGTGTGGGGAGAAACACAAAGTGGCTGACGAGGGGTACAGGGTTTCTTCTTGGGGTGATGAAAATGTTCAAAGATTAAAATGCGGTGTGGGGGGACGCCTGGGTGGCTCAGTTGGTTAAGCAGCTGCCTTCGGCTCAGGTCATGATCCCAGCGTCCTGGGATCGAGTCCCACGTCGGGCTCCTAAGGAAGGAAGGAAGGAAGGAAGGAAGGAAGGAAGGAAGGAAGGAAGGAAGGAAATGAAATGAAGGAAGAAAGGTGTTGTAAGAAGAAAGAATCAGGCAGAAGCTGTTGACCAAATTTCACATCTGGTGCTAGTTCATCTAGTTACACCATGAACCCCTTTCCTTAATAGGGGTTCCTGAATTTTCTCCCAATTCCAAATATACCAAATGAACAACTTGAAAATGGGGGAAAGAACAAAACAAAACAACCTAGAACTCTGCCCAGTATAGGACCGCACTGCGTACAGAGAAGAGAGTCGACATAACCGTCTTCATTGCCCGGCTGATTGCTAGCTGACGGCCTGAAATTCCCTTCCCTGGCCTGAATTCCAAAGCTGACTTTCAGTAGACTCACAAGCAACCAGATTCCCAACGTTAGGCCTCGTTGACCCAAATGGTTAATTGACCTAGGCGGTTTCTGGTTGCTGAGAGCTAATCATTATGGGTCAAGAGGCAATACCACAGAGCAGAAAGAGTACCACAAAAGGAGTCAGAAGACGTGAGTGCCACAGCCCTGCCAACAGCTTGGGGACCTTGAGCAAGTTCCTTTAAGAAGCCAGACCCGTAGTTTCTCATTTCTGTTTTCCCTCCCATTTCATTGAGATTTGATTGACATATGGCCCTGGAAAGGTCGAATTGTTTTTTATTTCTTACACGGGGCTAGCTCCACTTTCCTTGATTACCTCACAGCATTGGATGGAGGATCAAACATTATTTATAAACTGTAAGGCACTATCATGTACAAGAAATTACCAGAGACTTTCCAGTCTGATTCAGCTCCAGAGGAGAGAATTTGTCCCTACCTGGGGACTTTATTTAAGATAAGAATCATTTGCTAGGAAAAACACATGAACAATAGTAGAACAGGAAAATATAATATGAGACAAGTGCCACCTTGTAGTGTTTTGTGGCAATGGTTTAAAGAGACTGGCCAAGCTGACATCCGTGGTAACAACATTATCCAATCTCTCAAGAGCTAAAAATCAGAGAGAAGCTATTTGGAAAACAAACCAGGCCATTCACATTGAGCTTCCAGTGGAAGCCTGTGATGGGAAATGATCACTTGTTTCGAGACACCTTGAAGACTTGGGTCTGTGCCCCTAACCCTCACCAGCATCAGAGTGGGATCATAGTCCCCAGGCAAGTACAGGTAAACCAAGGAAGCCATTAAAGCTTAGCCCCAGCCTCCATTTATGTGAGCGTCTGACATCAGCTCTCTAATCACTTTGTCATCAAAACAAAAAATGTCTGGTGAAAGTCACCAGGCAATGTGAGGCCCATAAGAAATGGGCAGAAGGAAGGGACACTGTTGGTGTATAGAATGTGGCATCAAACACAACCCCGGGGCACCTGGGTGGCTCAGTCATTAAGCATCTGCCTTCGACTAGGGTCATGGTCCCAGGGTCCTGGGATAGAGCCCCACATCCTCGTTTCTCTCTGTCAAATAAATAAATAAAATCTTAAAAAAAAAAAAAAAAACACAACCCAGTGAATGGGCATTTGTCTGGACGTAAAGAAGAAGAAAAAAGTGAGAGCAATGACCTAGTCCACCTTTTTCACAGAAGTGTTAGTTTTTGCCACCAAGGGAGTGACCCAAAGTACAACAAAATTCTAAAGGAGGGGAAAAAAACCAATAGAACTCAAATGAAAGAAAAAATAAGTGCCATGTAGCCTCACTGCCCCCAAGGCATATTCAAAGTAGCCAGTTCTGGAAAAAATCCTACTTGGTACCCCAACAGAGGCTGACCTCCCCTCTCCACCCCTCCCCTCCGCACCTCTTCCCACTAAAACCAGCTGGGAAATCCAGAGGAATTGGCCTTCTGGTCCACGGGCATGGGGTGGGGGATCAGAGGGAGGAATGAGTCAAGTGGGACAGAAAAAAAGACACCTGCCCATTCTCTGCTCTTGTAATGTGATATAATAATTGGAATGTGATTGGAAACAGGTGATAAAGTCTTATGACACAGGGCCGACCTCTACCCTAAGAAAAAATAAACACCAATTTAGATGTTTGTATTTTTTTTCTGGACTTCAAGATAAGTACATTCTATCTCCTACTTGTCTTAGAGAGTTCACAGCTTTGCCCCATTTTATTGAGAAGGAAACTGAAGCAGAGAAGCGACTGGCTTAAAACACCCAACTGGTGAGTGACAGGGCTGGGTCCAAACCTTCTTTGGCTCCAACGTTAGTGTTCTTTCTGAGATGACCATTCTGCTCCGTTATTATAAAACTGCAGCTTTGCAAAGAACCTCGACCGGCCATCTTACCAAGCTTCCTGGAATTTCTTCATCCTGCACGGCCTCTCTTGATTCCGCCGACTCCTAAACCATCTTTCCACCTGGCGCTCTGTCAAGTTACACTTCTTTGCCAGTCCGTAAATATCAGTCTGAAAAGGGATAACATGAATGAACAGGCGATAAAGAGCAGTCAGATGGGAATGCGGTCAAGACGGGGTTACGGCGTGATTGGGTTACCAGAGCTCGGGCGCTGGAGAGGAGACACATTCTGTGTTAGATCTGGAGCCAGTGATTTGAATTTACCTCTTTGGTTTATGGGATCACACACGCAGACACACCAAAAAAAAAAAAAAAAAAAAAGAAGAAGAAGAAGAAGAAATCCCAGCACTCTGAGTTACCAAGAAACATTAATACTTCGGGATTTGGCAGCGACCCATACACTCGAGCTGCAGAGGTACGCTCGCTCATTCAGCAAAGTTTTATCTAGGCTTCCTAGGTATCAGCTCGAGTAGTAGAGTTTCAGATCAGATCCAATCTCCTCATCTTTCCTACAAGGAAACTGAAACACCAAGAGTTTTAGTAAGTTGTCCAAGACCTAAAATTAATAATAAAGTGAGGGTAAGAACTTAGGCTAATGCACTTCCTGGTCTTTCACACAATCATAGTGATGGCTCCACCAGATAAGACAGCAAAAACTCAAACAGGTGTTGGCTATCACTGTCACCTTTAATCAGATGTAAAGCCCATGTCAAACAAATCCAAAATAATTTCAATCATAAAAAAAAAAGTAAAGATCGTAGAATATACTAATGATGATCGCTTCTCTTCTGGGAAGCAGAACTCATTTTTAAATATGGACATAATATGGATGATGGAGTAGCTCAAATGTCATACACTTGAACTTCTTCTCCTAGGGCCAGACCAAAAACGCACATGGCTGGATGGATCAGGTCTGTTTCATGGTGGGACCTTAAGTTGTATTCTCCAACACAGTCAGGTTTTAGAGGCTAAACCTACAGTTTTTTCAATTGACACAAAGAAATAAGCTCTGTAAGTTTTTGAAATACCTTTACCCTTGATCTTTCATTTTCCAACCCAAGTACAAGAACGATTTCCATCTCCTCTTTAGTAGAAAAATAAAATGGCATTAAACTGACCCTCAGCTTCAGTGTGGACAAGATAAGCGGGAGCCATGGACACAGCAAACAGGAAAGCCCCTTCTTGTTCCAAAAGGGCATCTGTGAGCCAGCTCTGGCCGGTGGCTCCCAGAGGGAAAGCACACACCCAGAATCTTAATGGGACATTGCTAGTGGGTTCTAAATCTTGACTGGTGCCTCACAGTAGATTAAGCCAATCGTGGACCAACATTGCAAGGGCCGAACAAGGCCTGCCTGGTGGTTGAACACCCCAAGGTCTACGACCAGTCAGTCATACAGTTTCCCCTGGGTTATTGTGCAGAGTTCCCCTAATTGTTCAGGCCCGCAGCGTTAACAGTCAATAAAATTCATAAAGCAGCTCTGACACTGAAGACTGGCAAAGGCCTAATTGTAGGTTCTCTGTACCTCCTAAATTGCTACCTATTATTTAACCTGCAAGAAGGAAAGCAGAACAAAACAAAAACAGGATATCGCCCATATGATAGTCTATTTCCTCCGGAATACCTACTCTTATAAGCCGAGATTTCGCTGGCTGATGTCTGGTCATTGTTTTGTTTTTGTTTGTTTGCTTTTTTTTTTTCTGTGCTTTTGAGAAGACTGAGTTGACAACCACTTATTGCTGCCTCCTTGCAAGCATTGTGCTAGTCCCTGGGGAACTAAATGAATCATAACATGGACATGGGCCAGGAAGGAAGAAAATAAAACAAAGAATTCTAATGAAACACCACAAGTGCAAAGATAGGGGAGGAGCAGGACACCATGGGACCTATGTCTGTGGAGACTTTCTGAAAGTTACACATAGGCCGGACCCTGAAAAATGCCTCAGAGAAGGAGAGGACAGAGAAGGGACACGTCCTGGACGAGGGACCAGCGCGTGAGGTTGTCTGCAGGTGAGAGCAGGGGTGTTCAGGGAACACCTGGGGAACAGAACGAAGTCTGGCAGGGTAGAGCCCTATGAAGAGGAGGGGAGGAAAGACATGGCAGGCTCACATCAAGGGGTGCTTTGTCTGGGATTTATCTTGGGGGTGACAGGGCGTTGGCCCTGATAAAGTCCCCCTCCGGCAGTGTGGACAGATGGAAGGAGCAGGAGTATGTCTGGAGTTGGACACTGCGTTCACTTTGCCCTTGTGTCCAAGGCCTTTGTTCTCACAACTCTGGAGGTCTGGATTCACTAACCCACACAGCTCATCACACTCCCTCATGGGAAGCAATTTCATTTTATGATCCCATCATTTCTATAGATATCTGCTTAATAAATGCGTCTAGAAATAGCACTCAAACATGATTTGAAGCAATTTATTTTCTCTTTTGGAGCACAGATGTGTCTGGTTGAATGTCAGTGAACGAACTGGCTTCGTTCACTATAATCTTATTGGGATAGAAAACCTCTTGGAAACAAAAGTCTCTGGAAGTAATTTCTTATTGACACATAAAACAAGCATTTATCGAACACCTACAATGCACAGAAAATCATGCGAGATGTTATGTTGGTATTTCTTTAACTGTCACATGGCTCTTTTCTCTTCACAGCAGGGAAACTTGATAGAGACCAAATTTCCTAATTTTAGATTTCCTAGAAAGCTGACCGGAAGCTTTTGCTATAGAAACATGTCAAGTCATTGAGAGCATAGCACTGTTCTTCATGGTTTATATGTGGTATTACCCAGGTACAGTATTCTCAAACAGAAAGAGAGAAAAATAAGGAGTTTCTAAAAGGCCCCAAATTTTTATTAACACGGCTAACTAATTTCGCTTTTGAAAAATGTGAAATGATCTTGGGCGTTTATTATCACCAGTGGTAAGAGCAGGGTTGAAATGAACATGAGCTGTCCTTTAGAGCACATGGAAATAAAGACCATGTGGAAATGGCTTGTCAGAATCTCCTCATTTTAGAAAAAGAACAAACAAGGAAGTCCAGTGCAGAAGCTGAGGGCAGAAGTTACAGACAGAGCTGGCTAGCTGTGAGCAATTCTGGACCCGATGCTTCATGCAACGTGGTCAGACCTCCACGTGAGCCCACAGGATCCACAATAGAAACGGTCGTTGTAGACACAACGGAATTCAGCAAGTAAAGTTCAGCACCCTTAAAAATCTCTCTGTCTTAAACCATGCTAGAGCATACTCTTGAATTTTATAATGACTGGTGGTCACTGTCGGTATTCATCATAGAGGGTGTCTGTCATATTGGGAAGAGTTTTTATTTCATCTCTCATTTAAACGATGATGAAAATGAAACTAGGCCTGCCAGAGCATTATCTTTTTTTTTTTTTTTAATAACTATTAGATTAAAACCTTTTTTTTGTGGGATACCTGGGTGGCTTAGATGGTTAAGCATCTGCCTTCGGCCCAGGTCATGATCCCAGGTCCTGGGATTGAGTCCCACATTGAGCTCCCTCCTCAGCAGGGAGCCTGCTTCTCCCTCTGCCTCTGCCTGGCACTTCCCCTGCTTGTGCTCTTTCTCTTTCTCACTGGCAAATAAAATTAAAAACAAAACCAAACCAAACCTTTTGTGTGTGTTATGTAAAGATTCCCTGTGCTACACCATTTCATGAGGTGCCTCTGGTACCGCGGAGAGAACTCTGACTTTCCTGGGGAGTAGGCAGGAGTACGGCACATTTCTAACCGTGTGGATAAAATAACATGCGCTACTCATGGCAGCCACCCCAGTGAACACTTTCCTAATGTGTGTGATGTATATCGATGGAACCATAATCATAAGAAGTGTCAGGTACGGGCTACTCTGCCTTAACAGTCAGTGGTCTCCTGTGAAAGGATCCTTTGTATATATCCCACCCCCCCAATTTAATTTTCATCTTTATACCAAAATTATGGCATTGATTACTAGTGTTGAACACTGTAGTTGAACATAATAACTCAACTATGAATATTGATTATTTTGTAATATTTCTGTGTCGTTTTATACTATGCTTGGAACAGTGTATAACTTGTCAACAGAGGGGAAAAAAATCCAAATGAGTCAAATCATTTGATGGTCAACAGGAACAGGTATCTTACACAGATGATGTAAACCACAGGTGACTGAGACATTAAGAAAGGAGTTTTTTGTTTGTTTGTTTTTTAATCCAAAAACAAAGAACTTGTACTTACTTGAGATGGTTGCCTTGTGGAATGTTTGAAAAAGTTCTCTAAGACAGTATTTGGTGTAATCTTCTTTCGAACTTCCTCTTTAATGCCAAATGATTTTGCTAGAGGCGTAGCAATAAACCTACAAAATATGAAAGAAAGCCCAAAATCTGAGAATGAACCCACAAGTACACCAGAAAACTCAAGCCATAACTTCTGATTCCAAATGAAGGATCAGCCATTGGGTCATGTTGTCCTTGGGCGACCTACAGCCAACCTCTGCCTTGCAAAGAAGTTCAAGGAGAGAAAATTTGGAGACCATTTTCACAAGCAATAACTTAAAAAAAATAAAATACCTGCCTGTTAAAAATCCACTTATGTAAATCCAAATATATTTATATATGAGATCCTGGAATTGGGATAAGCCATTTCACTTAAGAGTTTCATTTTAAGGCTCCAAGAGATTAAAATGAATAATAATTTGGTTATTGAAAGTTTTACTTGGTGATACTGTCTTAGAGAATTACTATGTTCCTATTTGAAGTTCTAACTTATGAAAACGTGGTCTGACTCTTGGATAAAGATTGAGGAGTGGGATTGGTGGGTGGTATGACAAGTATACATTTAACTTGATAAGAAACTGGCAAACTGTTTTTGGGGGTGGGTGGCACCACTTTGCATTCCTGCCAGTAATGGGCCAGAGTTCCAGTTACTCCGTATCCCTGCCAACACTTGGTATTACAAGTTATTTTAATCTCAGCAATTTTACCGGGTGCGTCCTGGTTTTCACTGATTTTCTACACTAATCTTTATAATCTCCTAACTTTTGCTTGCTAGATGTTTAGTTTGCTCTTTTTTTCCCCTAGTTTCTGAAGGTAGAAGTTTATTGATTTGAGATCTTTCTTCTTTTTTAATATAGGTATTTGCAGGTATAAATTTCCTTCTGAGAACCATGTTAATACATCTCCTAAGTTTTGACATTGTGTTCTCTTTGTCATTCATCTCAAAGTATTTTCTAATTTACTGTGATTCCTCCTCTGACCCATTGGCTATTTAGAAGTATGCTGTTCAATTGCCACATATTTGCTCATTTCCCAATTTCTGTGTGTTACTGACTTTTAATTTCATTTCATTGTGACTGGAAAACACACCTGGTAAGATTTTCATTTCTTTAAGCTTATGGAGACTTGTCTCATGGCCTAACATACAGTCTATCCTGAAGAATGTTCATTGTGCATATGAGAAGAATGTGTCTTCTCTTGTCATTGGGTGCCATGTTCTACAGATGATGTTAGGTCTACTTGGTTTATAGAGCTGATTGAGTCTTCTATGTCCTTATTAATCTACCCCCCCAATTATCCATTATTAAAAGTGAGATATTCACATCCACAACTCTTTTTTGAGTTGTGTATTTCTCCCTTCAATTCTGTCAGGTTTTGCTTCATGAATTTTGGAGTTTTGATGTTAGGAACATATATGTTTATAATTATTATGTCATCTTGATAGATTTATCCTTTTATGTTATAAAATGTTCTCTTTTCCAGTAACAGCTTAAAATCTATGAAAGTCTAAATTGCCTGGTATTAGTATACAGACACTCCAGCTCTCTTTTGGTTACTGTTTGCTTGGTATTATCTTTTCCCATAATTTTACTGTCAACCTATTTATGTCCTTGAACCTCAAGTGTGTTTCTTAGAGAAAGCATACAGTTGGATCATGTATTTTTTAAAAGATTTTATTTGTTTATTTGAGAGAGAGAGAGCAGGGGGAAGAGCAAAGGGAGAAGGACAAGCAGTCTCTGTCCTAAGCATGGAGCCTGATGTAGGGCTCGATCTCACAACCTGAGATCTTGACCTGAACCAAAATCAAAAGTCAGACACTTAACCAACTGAGCCACCCAAGCACCCCAGATCATGTATTTGTATCCATCTCTCCTATCTATGCCTTTCAGTTGCAGTATTTAATCTATTTACATTAATGCAAATTACATTTAATTACTGATAAAACAGGATTTTTATGTCTGCTATTTTGTTATTTGTTTTTTATGTATCTTATGTCTTTGTTATTTCTCTATTCACTGGTAAGTTTCTTTTGTGTTAAATGCTGTCTAGTGTAGTTTTTAATTCTCTCTCTTCCTTAAAATATTTTTATTCAACTTTTTAAAAAAGATTTATTCATTTTAGAGAGACAGAGTGAGCACAAGCAGGGGGAGGGGCAGTGAGAGAGGGAGAAAGTGAGAGAATCTCAAGCAGACTCCATGCTAAGCATGGAGCCTGATGAAGGGCTTGATCTCATGAGATCTTGACCTGAGCCAAAATCAAGAGTTGGATGTTCACCTGACTGAGGCACCCAGGTGCCCCAAAATATTCTTTTAAAATAATTTTCGTAGTGGCTAACCTAGGGATTATAATTAACATCTTCATGCATAACATCCTAGTTCAGATTAATACCAGAATAATTTCAGCAATATACAAAAACTCCACTACCTCCCTGTTCTGTGCTATTAATGATACAAATCATATATTTATAAATTGTGTTTTCATTGACACAGATTCATAATGACTTTTTGATGTAGTTGTGGTTTAAATAGACAGAAGAGAAATGTGTTACAAATAAAAACTGTGTGTATACCTTCTTTTTATTTCTTATATAGGTGATGTTACTGGTGGTGCTTTTTATTTCTTCATATGGATTCAAGTTACTGTCTCATGTCCTCTAATTTCAGCCTGATTTAAAGTATTTATCTAAGGATACCTGGGTAGCTCAGTCAATTAAGTGTATGATTCTTGATTTCAGCTTGGGTCATGATCTCAGGGTTGAGACTGAGCTCTGTATTGGGCTCAATGCTGTGCACGGAATCTGCTTGGGATTCTCTTTCTCCCTCTCTTTTTTCCCCTCCCCTGTTCACAAATACTCTCTCTCTCTCTCTCTCAAAAAAAAAAAAAATAAAATTAATTTAAAAATAATGAAGTCTTAGGGGCGCCTGGGTTGCTCAGTGGATTAAAGCCTCTGCCTTCAGCTCAGGTCATGATCCCAGGGTCCTGGGATAGAGCCCCACATCGGGCTCTCTGCTCAGCGGTGAGCCTGCTTCCCCCCTCACACTCTGCCTGCCTCTCTGCCTACTTGTGATCTCTCACTGCCAAATAAATAAATAAATAAATCTTTAAAAAAAATAAATAAAAAATAATGAAGTCCTTATCTAATAAGGCCAACATCTTGGTTTTGTAAGGGACATTTTCCTTACAAAAAGGGGACTACTTTTTCCTTGAATGGACCGCACTTTTTGTTTCTTTACATGCCTTATAATTTTTGTTGAAAATTGGACATGTTAAATAATATAATTGGCAACTCTGAAAATTGGATTATCCCTCTCAGATTTTCTTGGTTTTGTGGTTTGTTACCATTGTCCATTTGTTTGTTTCATTCCTTGTTTGAAATGATCTATGAAGTCTGTATTCTTTGTTATGTTTGGGCACTGAAGTCTCTATTGGATTAGCTTAAGTGTCACCTAATGACTAGACAGAGATTTCCTTAAATGCCAGGAACCAATAAGTCTCCCAGTCTTTGCCAAAGAGCTCTGCCTACATTTTGGGGCAAACCTTCAACACTCAGCTAGGCGGTTGCCAACTCTGCCTTAGCCTTCACTTCCTTTTTGCACAGAGCCCCAAGATCATCCAGAGGTGATTGTTAAGGGCCTTCTCATATCTTTTCTGGGCATGAGGAGAGCCCTGGGAATACCCAAAGCTCTACAAATTCAAGTGTCCTTCTGATTTTCAAGAATATGTCAGAGCTTATCAAAGTCCACTATGGACATCTTATTTTCCAGTTTTTCTCTTTAAATGTTCTGGTTAGTCTATTATTTGCCCCAATTGTTACTGACAATCTCAGGTAGTTCCAAAGTTAATCAATTGCCTCTATGTGTTTTAGGCAGGCACCTTCAGGGAAAAGGCTTTTCTGACTCAGGTCAAATAAAGACAGCCTTATAAGTACTGGTTCCTCTGGAACCACAAGAGAGGTCAGATAATGACATTTCTCTGGTAATGACGCTCTGTTCTGCTCCCTTCAATGGCTGCCAGGATACCAGTTTCCACTGAAATTGAGGACTATTGGGTTTTTAAGGCTATCACAGAGGTGGACAGGGCAGGATAGGAATAGGGCAAGTTAAAATGTCACAAAGTTTATTCTTCTTTCCAAGAGTCAGCTGTTTTTCTTAAATAACAATCCTTGGATTGCTGCTAACCTTTGGTTAATTGTGAATTTTGAAAAGTTGATTTTTACTAGTTTTCTGATTGCTTTTAAGGAAGAGAGAATTTTTGGAGATCCTTACTCTGACATTTTTGTTAATTTCTGGGGTATAGTGGTTTTAATTTGCATTTTGCTAATGACTAATGATATTGGACACCTTTTCATGTGTTTACTTGCCATTTATATATCTTTGGTGAATTATTTACTCAAGTCTTTTGCCCATTAAAAAAATTAAGTTATTTCTTTGTTTATCATTGAGTTAAAGTTTTCTTTATATATACTGAATTTAAGTCCCTCATCAGATACATGTTTTGCAAATATTTTTCTCCCAGTCTGTGGCTTGTCTTTTCATTTTATTTATACTTTTTGAAATAACCTAAGGCATTTTTGCATATTGCATAATTCACCTTTTCCAAGTATACTATTCAGCGATTTTTTTAAGTAAAATTACCAAGTCATAGAATCATCACCACTAATCAGCTTTAGAAGATTTTCATCATCCCAATATAATCCCTCATGCATATTTATTGTCAATTCTCTTCCCTCTCACCCCTTCCCCAGGCAATTGCTAATCTGTTTCTGTCTTTATAGCTTTGTCTTTTTAGGATATTTAATATAATGGAATCATACAATAATATGTGGTTGCTTGTGGCTGGCTCTTTCATTAGCTTAATGTTTTTGAGGTCCATTCATGTTTTGGGATGTATTTGGAGTGAGCTCCTTTTTATTACTGAATGGTAATTCATTGTATGGGTATGCATACATTAACAATGTCTTTTGAAGAGCAAACACTTTTAGCAATTTACCAAGGGAAATAAAAGCATGTGCCCGTACAAGCTCTTGCACTCAAATATTCATGGTAGCTTTATTCATAATAGCTAAAAACTATAAACAATT